AACATTCCCGGTAGCCATGTCAATTCTGCCACTGTTGCAGCTAAGCTTCTGTATTCTGCTTATGCAGAACTTTTTGATATAGTAGTTTGCTTTTTGGACTTCCAAGATACTAGAGAATTGCCCACTTTGTTCAAAAACTTGTAATATATCTCCTAGTGACTGGGCAAGCTACCTAGTCTGATTTGTATATTTAGAGGCTCTAGACTCGTGACACCAGATGTTTTGGGCAGTGTTGGTTTAAATGTTTAGCAGTTTTTCGCATATTTTGGTGATTTAAATCATTCTTATGAAAAATTGAGACTTAATTAATGTTAGAAAAATATTTTATTAAAAGAGATTTATTGTGAATTATTGGATTGGGTTGGCTTGCCTAGTATTGTGATAGGCGTCATCACGACCGGGTAATTGGGGTCGTGACAAAAGGTTTCTTGATAATCAATGTCCTCTTGTTGGCTATATCCTTTGGCTACAAGTTTAGCCTTAAACCTCTTTATCTCTCCTGATGTCTTGTACTTAATTTTATATATTCACTTGCATTCTATAATTTCTTTCCCTCAGGTAATGTGACCAATGTCCAGGTACTATTATCTTCTAGTGCTTTTACTTCTTCTTTCATAGTTTGTATCCATTTTGGATATTTACTTGCTTCAGCATATGTAGTTGGTTCAGTAGTTGATAAGAAAATAGCAGTAAAAGCTTGATAGTTAGGAGATAAATGATCATATCTTATGTATTTATTTAGGGCATAAGGTACGTCTTGATGAATATTCAAGGACACAAAGTCCGTCAACCATACATGCGGTTGTTTGTCTCTGTTGGACTTCCTGACTGTAGGTTGTTCACATGTTACTTGATTTATTGTATGAGCTCTAGTAGATACACTTTGATTGTTTTGTTGTACTTGTGTCTCCCCCTCAATTATACTGTGATTTTGGAAATCATGAACTGCTGAGGATTATAAGTTTCTTCTGTAGTATCAACCGTTGTAGATGGATTACCTGTATTGGTATTACTAAAGTCTGTATTAGTCTGTGTGTTAGTCTGCTGATCTGAGATAGTCTCAAAGAGGATTTCTGAATTGTCCATATATAAGCCTACAGGTGGTGTAGTGTCTACAAACACAGGTGTTGAGGAGGAAGTTGTTCTTCTAAATGGAAAGATGTTTTCTTTGAATATAACATCTCTGTTGATAAAGAAGGATATATTATATAGATCATATAATATATAGCCTTTGTGAACTTGTGAATATCCCATATGCACAGATACTTTTGATCTAGACATTAGCTTGTCATGTTCCTGAATTACTTTTGCAAAGCACATATAACCTAGCACCCTTAAGTGACTTAGAGATGATTTTTCTGTTATGTAGTCTTTCATAAGGAGATATATTTGCAATTTTTGAGCTGGGCAACCTATTAATTATATAAACTGCAGTAAGAAGACAGTGACCCAGGATCTGACAGGGATATGAGCTTGCAGTCTTATAGCTCTTATTACTTCTAAAATATATCTTCGCTTTCTTTCAGCTACCCTATTCTGTTGAGGGGTGTAAGCACAAGTTCTTTGATGTATCATCCTAAGGTTCTTGAACAATTGTTCACAAAGAGAATTTACAAACTGTGCCATTGTTTGTTCTAATAATATTGATGATCTTATTAAATTGACTTTTAACAAAGCTGAAGAAATGTTGTAAACACTTACATACATCTGATTTCTATTTGAGTAGAAATACCCATGTCATTCTACTGTAATCATCTACAATTGTTAGAAAGTACTTGGCTCCATCAAAAGTAGGTATTCTATAAGGACCCCATAGGGCTACATGAATCATATTAAAACATCATACACTTCTGATATCACCGGAAGGAAATTGCAATCTAGTTTGTTTAGCACAGAACAAATTGTACATTTATCTACTTTGTCTCTGATATTCTGTAAAGTAATAGGCAGTATTTTCTTAAGCACTAAAACAGACACATGTCCAAATCTCTAATGCCATAGCTCTACATTGACCTGATTTACTTCACTTGCAGTCAATTCCTTTGCAACATACACAACATTCTAATTATTCCTTGCCAGTTAAGCTAATAGTATGTACAGTCCTATTTCTTCTTTACCAATCTCCCTCATCTTCCCAGTGAAGAGATCTTAGAAAACACAAAAGTTAGGGAAGAATGTTGTTGCACACTGCAGTTCGTTAGTCATTTTTGAAACTAAAAGACGATTATACTTAAACTGAGGTACATGAAATACATTAGTTATAGTGCTTTTGTCAGAAATTGAGCTTGCCTCTATGTGTGTGACTAGAGACACATCACCATTAGGTAACAGAACCTTCTTAGGATTGACTTTCTGAACTATTGTAGACTTATTCAGAAGGTTAGTACCAGACACCATATGATTTCACCAGTGTCTATAATCCATTCTTGTGAACCATTTGAAACCAGTAGTCTTGTATCAATAAATGTTACATTAGCAACTGAATCTTCATTGTTGGTGATTGTTGTGACTCCTCCTTTGTTCAACAGCTGAACAATCTGATCATATTGGTCCTTTGTGAATGTATAGCTTCCCAATTGACTTGCAACAACTTCCAGTCCGTGATTATAGGATACTTGATTTTCACAAGCAGACTGGTTTATGAAATTAGTATTCTGACCATATGTAAATGTACGTGCTGCAGGTGTCACGACCCCGGTTCGTCCTCTGTGAACTATCGTGACGGCACCTAGTCTCTACGACTAGGTAAGCCTAAACTTGCAGAAGATAACCAAAACTTGCGGAAGTAAAATAATTTAAAAAGAGAAATAAGGCAATAACAGTGTTAAATATGTCGCTCGGCATACACTATATTTATATAGATCTCAAAACCAATATCCAAATCCAAGACCCGAAAACCCACGAATCATAAGCTAAGAAAAAGAAATACTACATAGCTCTAACTCCGGAATTTTGTTTAATAAGAACAGAAGTACAGAAGGGCTAAATACTAAAAGCATGAATAGAAAAGGACTTCTCGGTCTGCGGACGCGGCAGATGTACCTCAAAGTCTCTAAGAAGTCGCCTCTCTCAAGGATGGTAGGCCTGAGTAGCGGTACCTGGATCTACACATGAAAAACATGCGCAGAAGGGNATCATAAATACATACAGGAGATCTCCCGAGATGTCGTTCCGTAGTCCCAAAGTAAAAACACACAGCAGCAACACAAGAATACCCGATTAAGCTAAATTTCGTACAAAGTAAACAGTTAATTCTAGCCTAACATGCTTCACGTAATGCAATTAAGGCAGTTTAAGAAAATAGGCAATTAAGTAAACTAAATATGCTTTTCTAAACTAGCAACATGCTAAATTCACAAGTAGAATAAAACAGGAAAAAAAACTCAATTGAAATACTTAAGGAAAAACCGGATTTTCAATAATTAGCTCAAGTACGCACTTGTCACCTCACGAACAAGGCATTTCAATTATCAAATATATCATATCCTAAGGGGAAGGTCCCCCACACAAGGTTAGACAAGTCACTTACCTCGAACTGGCTCAATAATCAACTCGAGACCACGTTCTTGCCACGAGTACTCGACTCCAAATGGCCCAAATATATTCAATTTAATTGCATAATGTAAATAACACTTCAAGTAACTGATTCTACAATTAAATTCTAAGCTAATACGCGAAATTAGGTAAAATGACCAAAAACGTCTCTCGGGCCCACGTCTCGGAATAGGGTAAAATTTATATTTTCAGAATTCTCATACTCTCATGAGTTCATTTATACCAAAATTATCCAAATCTAAGGTCAAATTCCCAATCAAAAATCGAATTCTAGGTCTAAGAACTTTCTTCCACTTTTTCCCAATTTTCATCTCCAATCCGAAATTAAATGATGAAACTAACTATATATTGATGGAATATAACTAGAAAGGGTTAAAGAATTGTTACCCACTGATCTCCTCTTTAATTTCCTCTCATAATCTCCCTCTCCCGAACTCCAAATCGAAGTTCCAACTTTTGAAACTAAACCCTCGAAATTTCATATTTCTGCCCAGTTATTACCGCATCTGCGGTCCCGCTTTTTCGAAACACTGGTTGCATCTGCGACTCCTCACTTAAAACTAGATTCCGCATCTGCGACTCACCATCCGCAGATGCGGTACCGCTCCTGCGGAAAGCCTATCGCTTCTACGGCTCCTGCTGAACCTCCCCATTTCCGCTTCTGCAATTGATCCGCCGCTTCTACGGCTCTGCACCTGCTGTCCCACACTCGCAGGTGCGGTTATGACAGCAAAACAGCTGAAGCTGCAACTCCAAATCCCAAAAATCTTTCTGTCAACCATCCGAAATCATCCCAAGGCCCCCAGGACCTCAACCAAACCTATCAACATATCTCATAACTTCATTCAAACTTGTTCCAACCTTTGGAATGCTCAAAACAACATCAAAACATCTATCTTGCATCGGATTCAAGCCTACGAATCCAAAAAACTCTAAAAATATGTTTTCGATCAAAAAGTTTATCAAATCTCGTCCGAATGACCTGAAATTTTGCACGTCACATTCAACACTACGGAGCTACTCCAACTTCCGGAATTCCATTCCGACCCTCGGATCAAAATCTTACTATCGAACCGGAAACTTCAAAATTCGACCTTTCGGCATTTCAAGCCTAAATTAGCTACGGACCCCCAAAATACAATCCGAACACGCCCCTAAGCTCGAAATCACCCAACGGAGCTAACAAAACCATCGGATTTCCATTCCGAGACCGTCTTCACACTGTTCCGACTACGGTCAACTTTCCAACACTTAAGCTTTCATTTAGGGACTAAGTGTCCCAAAATTCTCCAAAATTCAAAATCGAACATCCCGGCAAATCAAAATAGTAGAAATAAACTCGAAAAAAGCAGTTAATAGGGGATCGGGGCGTAAATTCTTAAGACGACCGACCGGGTTGTCACAGCAAAATTTTGATTCTGATTGTTATCATTCTCATCAGAACATTAGACATTATACCCTTTTTTCTTCTGTCTGAAATCTTGAGGATACCCCACAAGTTTATAACAGCTTTCTTTTGTATGGCCTTTCAATTTGCAGTATTCACATTGAACATTAAAGTTTTTCTTGAATCTTTGATTTTGTCCACCTCCACCATTTTTGGTATACATAGTAACTTCAAAGTTCCCTACATGATTAGCTCCAAGAATTCCTGAATTGGCTGCTATAGACTTTTGACTTTCATCACTCACTATCAAAGCATAGGCCTGATTCACAGTAGGTAGAGGTGTCTTCATTAGGATTTGACTTCTTGCTTGTGAATAAGAATTATTTAACCTCATTAAAAATTGGTACAGCCTCAACTTCTGTAGATAGTTAACAAAATCTCTTAATTTGGGACAATCATATCTAGGTGCAGGGAATAAAGCTTCAAATTCTTCACAAAGATCTTTAAGCTTTGAAAAATATACTGAGATAGATGCAGAGCCTTGAGTTCAAGTGGCTATATTTTTTATGCAAATTAAAGGTTCTTGAACCATCAACTTTATTAAATCTCCCAACTAAATCTTACCAAATTGTTTGTGCACTAGAGGCATACATAATTCCTCCAAGAAGACCTTTGGCCACTGAGTACATAAGCCAAGATAGAACAATAAAATTTACTCTTTCCCCGTAATTTTCCATAGAATCTGGGAATCTATCTTTACTGCATGTACCATTTATCATACCTAACTTATTCCTACCTAACAAAGTTACCGGCATAGACCTATTTCAAATAGAGTAATTTTCAATACTTGTTAGCTGAAATGAGATTATTTGAATTCCGTTAACATCAGCAGGTGAGAGGAACATCAGAGGATTGTAATTGATCCCTGTCATTTGATTCGTCTGATTTCCATAATTAAGTCCAGAATTGAGATTTGGAGTTTCTTCAATTGATCCCATTTTCGTTTTTTCTTGTTTCTTTCTCAAGAATTGAACACTCAGCTATGAGGGATGGAAAAGAACAGAAATTCACCAAGAGAATTTCAGAGAATAATGATTGCGGAAGAAAATTTCAGATCAAGAGCTTCAATTTCTTGAGCAAAGCTCTGATACCATGTTGTGAATTGAGGAAGAAGAAGATAGAAAGTACATAGATGATAGAGAGATGATGAAATGATTTCATTAGAAATCTATTTTCTGGGATGACCCTTTTTATACTCAGCCAATACTAACGACTAAACTAACAACTAACAGATCTGTAACCACTTTTAACTAAATTATTTGATAATTACTAATCTGTCTTTATATCGTTTAACAAAATTAATAAAACATGTTTGAAATAATGCATATGTCTAATTTCCAGGACCAAAGACTCATGATTAAGCTTGAATTTGCCACGGATTAACATTATATTCTTTTAGTAATAATTATTAGGATTTCTTTTTTACTTCAGTTTTTTTCCAAACACATGAGATAAAATTGACGATTTTAAGTTCCTGAGCTAGATTGATTGACTTTACGGTTCATATAATGGGTGAGGAGTAATATGGCATTTGGTCCATTGTTGATTGACCCATGGTATGAGGTGAAATTCAAAAATATCCTGATTTATAAGTGGTAATTAAAAATAGTCACAGTTTCAAAAGTAATCGAAATTTAGCCACTTTTCATGTAAACATAAATTTGAATGAAAACACTGTTCAAAATCCGAAAAATATTCCAGTATAATATATCGGAGTTCCAGTATAATATGCTGGACTTCCAGCATAATATACTGGAGTTCCAGCATAATATACTGGTCCAACATAATATGCTGGAAGTTCATACACAGGTGCTCCAATCTCCAGTATATTATGTTGGAACTTTCCATGTTGCAGCAAAATAGTGGCTATTATTCAATGACTTTGCAAATGCTAGTTGTTTTTTAATTACCAATTCGAAAACTAGCTAGCCCGTGCTATTTTCACCATGATATGGTATTGTGAATTTTGAAATGTATGATTTAAAATCGCACATGGTGCTTGCTAATAGTATACAAATTATGAATATATCAAAGATATTAAGGCCTTTTATTTTTGAATGGCTGTGCTTATATTTCTTTGGTTTACCCCTACTCCTTATAATAGCATGATGATCTGTTCATTATATGAGAATACCAATAATATCCTTCAATCATAATACTTTTTGTAATTTTAAGTTTTTTTTTTGTTTAGATTTGGTTCTCAAGTTGTTTGGTAGGCATAATCCATTAAGAAGGTAAATTTAAAATTTATTGAATTAAATTAGAAATTAAAAATCTTAATATGCAGCCTCAGTATATTTATCTATTTAAATAATATTAATATTTTAAATGAACATATCTTATTAAATATAATATTAATTAATTAGCAGAGATTAGCGTCTAAACAATTTTTTTGAACCACCTGGTTGATTGATAATTAAATAGGTGATAGTTTATATGCATGTCTTTGATATATAATTTTTTTTTTAAAAAAAAATATTGGCTAAACATAAACTACTTACAAAAATATTTCTCAAATGATTCAATAAAACTCAAGTTGCTACTCTATTTCCAAAAGCAAGTATCAAAATAAACTGATTTTCATAATATGGCCAAATATGCTCTAAATGATTTTGTCAAGTAGTTGCTTATAATTAAGAGACTTTTTTTCTCAAGTATTATATACATTATCGAACAAATAGCTTAATAGTAAGTGACTTCTAATAAAGTTGCTTATAGAGTATTTTGTAGACAGCTCTTTATAATCTATACACTAGAAGTTTTAGAACATTTTTGTTACATGGAGTAGGTAGTTAATAGATAAATGGGGCAACCCAATTTTTCATAAGGGAATTCAAAATATAAAAACGCTAATAAAAAGAAGCCAAAAAAATTTAATATTTAATTTTTTATGTAATTTCCGGCAAAGGGAAACCCCTTACGTCCCCATAGCTCTGCCTGTGGTTCTGAGAATACCAGTTATAGAACCTTGGAACGTATAAGTTATTTTCTAAAGAATCTCTCATTCCATTTAAGTTGAAGTTATGACCAGTTATTTCAGTCAACAATATTATTCATTAAATTATTATTAGGAGCAAGTGTTTAAAGTGGAAGACACGATCATTACGCGAGCCTTCAATATTATTTGTTAAATGTAGTCCAGCCTACATAAACGTCAGAAATATAATTAACTACCACATCTATAGCAATTAATTTATGTTTGGTAGATGGAATAAATAACTGGTGCAATCCTTATTGGCTCGTGAGGATTACTAAAAGCAGTTGAAACACATTAACTAAGATCAAGGAAATTAGTTTAGGTTTTTAAGGCCAAAGATCCTGGGATTTTGTGAGAAACAAAGTAGTAGTAGTGGTAATATATATGTACAGGCTATAGCTTTAGCACCAACTGGAATTGAAAGCTGCTTTTTGCAATACTGCTTCGCATGATATATGGTATGAATAAAGATTTTTTTTGGTGGAATGAAATTTTTTTTATTCATCTCCAAACAAATACAACGAAGGGAATAACAAATGTAATACAATGAAGGGAAAACAGTGAAGTAGCTCCTTCTAGCTTCTACCTATATAAAGATTACATGTATATTCCTACCCCTATATATTTGTTTCTTTTGAGGTGCAGATTAATAATTGAAAATGAAATATCACTCCCGGCCATAAGTGGATCTCCTTAAGGCTGTATTGTGGTTCGGGTCCGGCTCGGGATCGAGCCAAACGGGCCGGTTCAAGCGGGCCCGGTCTCTACTGGTGCATAAGTCCGTAGCGGGCCGATCCAATCCAAATAGCTCGTGAGCCCGGGACCGTTAAGTCCGGGATCGGCAGGTGGGCCTGGGCCAGTTCAACCGGGCCCAACGGCTATTTTTTTTAAAAAAAATGACCAACGTCAAATTTTTAAAATCTAGCCGTTGGCCATCAAAATTCAACCATTTGGCACTTTAAAAAAATAGCCATTTGACCCCCAAACTTTTTATAATTACACTTTTTCTCAATTCTCAACTATAAATACCCCCCTCCCCCCATTCTTTCATTTTTACTCACAAATTCATCAATCTCTCTCTAATTTTCTTCTATAATTGCTTACTTTATTATTACAATTTCGTGAAAAATTGTGAAGTTGGTGAATTGAAGTATTCAAGTCTTCAACGATATTCAATTTTCAAGAAGTTGTTCGTCAATTCGGTAAACTCGTTCCAACTCTTAAGTTTTAATATTATAGTTTTGTTAGTTTTATTTAGTATAATTATAATTAATATGGCATTTTCTTTGAAAAATATTTTTGGTGGTAAGGGTAAGGGAAAATCTAAAATTGGTGAATCTAGTAGCCAAGCTACTACTCTTCCCCCGGCTCCCCGACCCAGACCTGTTACCCGTCCTCCTCCACCTATTATTCTTGATAGTGATAACCTTTGTTTTCAATTTTCCGATAGTCAATCTTGCCATGATGTTGCACCAGGTCAACAATTAAATGAAGAAGTTATGAATGCTCTTTATCCTAATGACTATCTTTGAAAATGATGAGGAAAATGATGATTTAGATGAAACGCAACCGGATTTAGATGATACACCTATTAGTCGTGTTAATAACCCAAATGATGCCCCGCTGGCTCTCCTGTAGTAACCCCTACTTTTAATAGACAACCTGCTAAACGGCCTGAAACATCTCTTGTTTGGCACTTTTTTACTCAACTAAGAGAACAAAATAAGGCTAAGTGTAAAACTTGTGGGTCTCAACTAGTTCATAAATTTACTGGAGAACGTAGCAGTATGGGTAGTTTGACTAGACATATAAAGACATACCCTAGAGATAAAGCTAGATTTTTATAAATGAAAGCTGCGCAAGAGGGGACAAGTGTAGATACTACGGTTAACCCTGGTACAGGTTCAAATCTAGTTCAACCGGGAATTAACACTGTTACCGGTGGCATTTTATATTATGATCCAAATAAAGATCGTGAAGAATTGGCAAAAATGGTTACTGTTATGTGCTTACCATATAGTTTTCCTTCTAACCCTCATTTTGTGAATTATACTAGAAGAGTTTTTAATCCTACTTATAAAGGATGGCCTCGCGCAACCGTAAAGATCGATATTTATAAATATAAACATGAATATGAACAATATTTGCGCTATTTATTTACTCATATAGATTGTCGCATTGCTATTACTACTGATATTGGTAGAAGTGGTAATGATTGTGATTATCTAACTGTTACAAGTCATTGGATAGATAAGGAGTGGATAATGCAAAAACGCATTATTGCTTATAGAATAATTAATTCACGCCATATAGGTAAGTTTATTGCTAACACGGTTGCAGATATTTGTAGATATTTTTTCATTAGAGATAAAATTATGTCGGTTTCAATGGATAATGCTTCTAGTAACACTAACGCTATAGGATTGCTTACAACTACACTATAGGATTGCTTACAACTACACTAAATCCTGCATTTAGTAATATTTTTCATGTTAGATATATTGTCATATTTACCATTTAATCGTCGGTACTGGTATGAAAGTTTTAAATGTAGAAATTAAAAAGGTTAAAATGGATCTTAATTGGCATTTTTATTCAAACCGTAGAAGCAGACTTAGAGACTATTTTAAAAAATGTGATGAATTTGGCCTTAGAGAAAGAAAGGTTCCTAAAGCTTGTCCAACTAGATGGAATTACATGTATGATAGTTTAATTGTTGCATATGAATATAGGAACCCAATAAGCGCAACGTATAATGCTCGTGTAGGTGATGGTGATGATGATGAGCACCTTACAAATCAAGATTGGAGTAATGTTAAAATGCTTGTAGACTTTTTAGAACAATTTCATATTTCTACAAATGAATTATCTGGCCAATATTATCCTACTATTTCTAACTGTTTAGTTTATATTGCAGCACTTGTAGATTTATTTACTCAATTTTCAGAAGGTGGAGTAATT